ATGTTAAACAAACAGGGCCTAATGTCAGTCCCTGCTGTTCCTCACCAGACACCTCCCCAAACTTGATCCCTCCCTGCTTGCTGCTATCTTCTGTTTAGTTTTCCAGGCAGCCGCCAATCTGCGTGACAGCCTATGTCCTGGCGCTCCCAAGGGGTGGTGCGAGACTGGCAGCTGCCTAGGTGCTGTGTACCCCCATCGCAGTTGCAGGCAGAGCTTTTTTCCAGCAGCCGGAGGAGCTCACTTTGCAGTACAGACCCCATGCATTCGCCTTGTTGCCTTGGCTGCCTGGCACAGAAGTGTTGCTTCTTCTCTGGAAGTTCATCCTTGCTTTTTCAGGAGGTCACTGGGAAGTTGTAGCTCCATGGGGAGTGGGGGAAATCGGGAGCTGGCTGTCAAGGTGCCCAAAGCAAGTGGCTGAAGGCTGGGGTTATCCCATGTGTCCTCTTGGCCCCTTCCCTCTGAGTGGCAGAGTGGCTGGTCTCAAGGGCCTGCTTGCAGCTCCATGGGTGGTGGCTGCTGCTGTCACGATAGAGCTTGGACGCTGTGGGCTGCTGAACATGGAGAGCATCGGGTGTGAGGTGGTGCTGGGCAGGCAGAGCCCAGATGAGGACCAAGAGCAGCTACCTGGCTAACCTCTGCGAGGAGAGGATTCTCTTCCCTGTTGGTCCATGGCAAGGTTGTGCTGTTACCCATGAGGGATAGAAAATGATGGGGAGGCAGAAGGCCCTCAGCTCCCAGATGGCCTCCCTTGCAGAGGGTACTTCATCCCTGGCCTTTCATAGAATTGTTTAGGTTGGAAAAGCCCTTTAAGATCACAGAGTCCAACTGTTCCCCTAACCCTGCCATCCCACCACTAAACCCTGTCCCTAAGCACCTCATCTGCCTGGCTTTTAAATACCCCCAGGCATGGGGACTCAACCCCTTCCCTGGGCAGCCCATTCCTTTCTTAGCTGTTGCATGCTGGGACTGCCAGAACCACATGGGAACACCTCTGGTGAGCCGCCTGTGTTACGTGCTGGATGTCTGTAGTGCTCTGTGGACTGGTGCCAGGCATCTCTTGATTTCTGTAATCTCTGCTTGAGCGGGCCTCAATACCTCTTGCATGCATGGATTCTAGCGCTCTGACTTGAAACAAATAAGGTTAACGTAACATCTCAATTCAAATGATTTTGTGATGGTGCTCTTTGTTACAAAGAACTTGAGGATGTAGAGTAGTTACAGCTGCTACTTGCTAGTCATCTTGTACTTGGGCTGGCTGAACAGGATTGGTGCTTCGGAGCTGTTTTTCATGCATCATAAAAGTCCCCTGAATGTTAGATGCAGTTTTCTGTTAGTGACAGATTACTGGCTGAGCACATAACCCTGAAGTCACCACGCATGCAGAGGTTCTGGGAACTGGTGTGTTCCCAGATCTCTTCTTGGTCTGTCAATGGGTTGCTCTTGCTGGGGAAGGGATGTGGGAATCTCCCTGTTGTCTCCTCGTGTCCTGGTGCCTCTGTAAATACCCTGTAAAGGAGCTTCCTTCTCCTTTCTTGCTCTTTCAGATCCAAGTTTCTTAGATGTGAGTCTAAGCTGCTTTGAGCATTAGTATCCCAACTGTCACCATGATGGGGTCTGTTCTTCCTCCTGCTACCTGGCTCTGTAGCTGGTCTCGTAAATGGGACCCAGCTGGAGAAATGAGTCTTCCTCCTTGGCTAATCTGAGGAGTTGCTGAGCAGAGCTTTCACTAGTTGGCCTCAAAATGAAGGGGTTTCTGGTGGTGCCTGCAGAAGTTATGAAGGGCCAAACCCAAAGGCTCCCTTGCTAGCAAGGGGCTCTGCTTTCCCCTCACCAAAGTAGGAAGGATGCCCTTGGAGATGTCTGGATGGTAGCGAAGAGTGGTTTAGGCTTTGCTGTCCTTCCTCGTGCCTCTGCTAGAGGAGCTGGCCCTGTGGGAGGTAGAATATGACTCTTGCCGGAACTGGTACCGAAGGCTTTTGGAGCCAAAGATCCTTTGGGCTTGCTGGTCTTGGCCGTGCCAAGTCATGGAGATTTTGCTACTTGGATCACTGAGCAATGCTTCTGCCTGTCCCAGGCCTCCAAGCACCCGAAGTAAAGGCTTCAGCTTGAAGCCTCAGCAGGGCACAAGTGTGGAAGCAAGGTGGTCAGCACCTTGCTTACAGCGTTCAGCACCTTCTCTCCAGGAGTGCCAGGCACTAGCTGGGACCCAGTTGCACTCTCAGATCTGGAGCTGAGCAGTCTCAAAAATGCGTTCCCAGGGATGCATCCTAGGCCGTGCCTGGAGCAGGAAAGTACCTTCTGCAGCAACAGCCACCACTACATGAGGATGGCTCACATGGCAGAGGCTGTAAGTGGAAAGAATCGGTTTGCACTGTAGAAGACCTGTGTGCCAAGTGGGATGGCTGAAACAGAATTCCTCCTGTGTGCCCAGCGCTGCAAAGCTGGACCTGGTGAGGGAGTGTGGCAGCGGAACGCAGCCCCAGCACTGGAGCTGCTGAA